CGCGTAGCACCTACAGGAAAAGGGCAAGCCCATCTTTGTAATTCCGACGCTTAGCAATGGTGTGCGTTCATCTGGCACGTAAATGACATGGTCTCATACTTGAATTGATATTTCTTTTCTCAATTATGTCTTGTAGATCGATTCCTGAACAGGATGGTTCTTGATTTCATCGAGACCTTGATGGGCAATGGCCCTTAGACAACTTCACAGGTATCCCACGTATGCGTTTACGGTGTTCTGAGCTGACAGTCAGATGCAAGGGAATTAGACGGATATGCAATCGGTGATGATAATGCTTGCGCTTCGTTTTGCCCCTATAGGAAAGAAACATAGAGCAATCCATTGAGCGCTCAAGTCTGACATCTTATTCAAAATCAAGTGTTTCGATTACTGAAGATTTCTACACGCGAAAATGTTGCAAACGTAGACACAATGCGTTGTTTGCGACTTTTTTTTACATCTAAAATGCGATACGTCTGGCATAGATGCCAGACGCTGGCTCGCTAGGTATGTAGGCAACCGATAAGATTGTTGCTAGGGGCTCAAACATTTCTCTCGATGGTATCACAGCGATAATACTCGTCCATTTTTGTATCGACATTATTTTTTTATATTTCACAAATTACCCGCAGCTAAAACGCTAATAATTCCACCATTTTACACAGCTCAGAACACACTTCAAATACAGCCATGTTTACGTATGTACGGTTGAGAGGCGACGCTTTGTCAAAAATCTATCGTGTAAAGCAAACACGAAAGCCGATGCTCGCCTGCGTCCGGGATCTGTTGGATCAAAGGAGCTCAGCGATTCACTTGCCATCGCCTCGAACATTATCGCTCTCCCTTTCCCTTTTTCTCTCATTTCCTCACTCTATTTATGTATATCGACACGCATGCGGACGAGCCAGCAGCTAAATAACTTTGTAATATGAGACCACTAATGACGTTTAAATATGCAGCAGGACAAAGCCAATGAAGCATGAATCCCTGGCTACTGGTGCATCCGAACACGATTCTGGTTGTCGCTTGTTGCATGTTGCATGCTGCATGCTGCACGCCGGACCTGCCTATCTGCTCAAATCATTTTTGTATTGTCAGCATCACCAGCGGCCCACGGTCGTCCCGCTTAGATCGTATGAGCGCCAGAGCGGTCAACCAGCGCACCTACGGCCTATCTCTCCATCGTTCCTACTGTAGGGTCGTCATGTACCCCAAGCTCCATATATCATCTAGGTGGAGCTCGTGCCTTTGCTTCGGCGACGGAAAAGGCCCCCTGCGCTACAGTAGCCGACGCAGAACTGTCCATATTAATACGAATGTTTCGATCATAACTCTTTGCGCGATCCCAGGCTCGGAACCTGCTTGCATTCACATACAGAGATATTGCCGGCACCCACTTACCGGCAGCGAGCCGTAACTGCTGACCAGGGCCCGTGTCCACATGCCTTCTGCAACATATTACTCTTATGAGGATCAAAAAATAACTATTGGGGACGGTATATACACATCTATGCAGTGCATGCAAATATTCAAGCGCAACTTCACTACTCAAAAGTGCGTCCCTTCCACCAGGGGAAAAACTAGGTTTACTGTTGGAAAAATTTAATTCCAGATATGAACGAAGAGATAGATAGAGAATGTAGTGAGTAAGAAAGAAGGTGGGTTTTCGTCTGACACGGGTTCTGTGCGAATCTGTAAGTCTGGTACTTTGTTTTTTGGTAACTGTGCTCTGACAGCTTAAGATTGCTCCATACTTCATTCTCCTATCACTGTGGGCCGACATTTGCCTGACCGTGTATAATGGGAACTTGCGTAAGTGGACAGTTCAGTACAACAGCGCGGAAGTTTATTCAGCGGTACTCCATGACGGTGAGCAGTTCGAATAGACGTTAATGGAAAAGAACGTGCGGTGATGGTTTGCGATAGATATGGGCAAGCGCTATACCCAGTGCTCTGCTACGGGGTAATCAAAAACATACCGAGAAGAACATGCTGACATCACAATGGCTACAAAAAAATCAAGATACCTTACATTTAGTTTTTAAAAAAATGTAAGTTTAGCAATACGGAAAACATCTTGGCGCAAGGTTAGGACAGAGCTAGCCGTTCTATTTCGTAATCAAAGAAAGAGTCAGCGTCAAGATTTCGAATACAGCGACATCGAAAAAATAGTTAGCTGCGTCAGAAGATCCCCTGTCAAACGGGGTTTCCACATCTGATTTCTCAAAGCCCATCTTTGAGGATAGAGGGCTGGTCCATTGAAATGGTTACGCTTAGCATCTCCCGACGCGTACATCGAAATAAAGGAACATTCGTTCTTTTTTTTTAGTAAAAAAATGATGTATGATACCCTCCTATTTTCGCACAAATGGGATAATTTTTTTAAAAATTTTATTGGGCCTGGTTCACACATTACCTCCGTGAATAGTACAATCGTGAGGTCCAGCTGTACGTCTTCTGCCATTATAAAAGGAAAAAAAACACCCTTTGGATATTGTATATAGACGAACTGCTATTTTGCTGACTTTTACAAAAGAAGCATACCCATTAATACCAAATTGTACATGCTTAGTTTTCTACTGTAATAAGTTTATAATAGATGTCATATAGCCTTCCCATCACAATGCGATATAAAAGCAATAGAAACGCATAAGGATAGATACCCTATCCTTAAGGAACATTGATGCATCATACGATCTCTAGTGTTTTCAAGGTAACGTATACTATAGAAATGGCAGCACGAATTCTTAGGGAGGAAGAGTTAATTTCAATTTTATTAATTTATATATTTCTCGATTTTTTAGGAAAATAATTTCTACCGTTTAATGTCATTCATCAAGATTATACAGACGTTATTTCAGTCATGCTCACGTTGGTTGCGGATAAAATATTAATTATATGGCACTATAATTGGCAAAGTTCCGGTATTATGAATTAGATGGTAGACGGCGAAGAGAAAGAACATAGGCTGCTGATTGGATATTGTCGAACATCAGCGAAACATGTCAAGCGATGAACTTCAAAAACAATTACACACACATTGGAAATTTTCCTCAGACCTTTTCAGGCAAGTCGTGTCATCGCAACGTATGCATAAACATATTAGTGTGGCTTGTTTCTTTGTTTAGCATCTGTATCGTTTTGACTCTCTATGTGCTATACCTGAAATAAGTGTCCGAACGGTTTATACACGTATGATCAACCGCAACGGCTTCACGTGACTGTTACGCTGCCACCTACATTAGGAAAGGACATTTCAGTAAAATGTTCGATTCTATTTTTTTTCCCCTAACATCAGATTGACTGCAGCTGGATTTCCAGTATAAATTTTGTATTTAAGAATTTTAAATTTTGTATAAAAGAAACACACGCAGAAAAGGTACTACTTGAGGCGGCTGGCCGTTCATTGGACACATTTCTAACACGAAAACAAGTGAACGAGCGGACTTTAAATGAGAGCATCTGGATTCAAATTTACACTATTTCGCACACCCCTAAATTCAGTAAGTAATTTAAAATGTTTTTCTTTAGACGATGCTGCCTCTAAGTGTAGTTACGGAAGTATAGCGAACACTTACCAGAGAGCATCTACCGAAGGCGCAAATACGTCGCAGCGTTACTTTTTTCTCGCTTTTTTGGGCAACTCGTTCCCATGGGCGGGACCTCATCCATGTGGACAATGAATACAATGGTTCTGGCGCCAGCTGCTAGATGGCGCCACCGTGACAGTTTAGCATAGCGAAAACAGGTTAGAATTTAGATCCTATAT